TTTCTCATTTCCCTTCAACTTCCTCTTGTTGGTACAAAGTTCTTTCAAGAACTTTGCATATCTCGGGATTTGCTTGATTGCATCAAGTAGAGGGATGTTTACTTCCACCTTTCGGAAGGTGTCCAAAATCTCTTTCTCCTCCATATTCTTCTTTGAAGTTGCAAGTCGAGAGGGGAACGGTGGTTGAGTGGCTATTGGTGTTACTAGAGGGATGGACTTCTTTGGAACTCCGGCTTGTGCATCGTTCTTGACTGTAGGTTCTTCAATGGGAATGATCTCTATTTCTTCCTCTTCTTCCCTTGGCTTCTTCTTTGAACTACTTTCTCCGGCTTGCTTGCCACTTCTCAAGGTCACCACATTGACATTTGGGTTCTTTTCGGTTTGAGAAGGGAGTTTACCACGGGATTCCAACTTGCTTATGGACGTAACTATATCTCCCATTTGTGCTTCAAGGTTGGAGATACTAGTCCTTGTCTCTTTTTGGAATTGTTGGGTACTAGTGGCTAGAGATTTGACAATGTCTTCAAGAGACATTCCGGAGCTACTTGGTTGAGATTGAGGAGATTGTTGATGATGATGTGGAGGGTGCGTTTTGGATTGATAGTGTGGTTGTTGATGTTGGTATTGAGGTTGTGGTGGTGGATAGGACGGTCTAACCAATGCATTGTGAGGCAATGGTCTTGGGTTGTAGCTTCCGTTGGGATTTGGTTTCCAACTTGAATTATATGCATTTTGGTACCCGGATGGTTTGTTGTGGTAGTTTTGGAATTCTCCCGTGGCATTCACATGCTCCGCATCTTCTTGAAGGATGGGACACATATCCGTAGGATGTCCCATGGTTGCACATATTCCACAAACCATCACTTGTGGAGTTTGTCCCATGGCTAGCTTTTGGACGACGGATGTTAGATCTTTTATTTGAGACTCAAGATTCGATGTTCCCACTTCATTAACTTTGTGTTGTGTGTCTCTCTTCATGTCTTGGCGAGGGCCAAAATGTTGTGAATTTGCGGCTATGGTGTTGAAAAGTTGTCTTGTTTGTTGTGGGGTTTTACTAAAGACATCTCCACCACTTGAGGCATCAACTAGTCTTCTCTCCATTGGCAACAATCCCTCATAGAAGTGTTGAATGAGGAGTTGTTCCGGAATTTGGTGTTGTGGGCAACTATAGCACAAGTTGTTGAACCTCTCCCAATAATCATGGAAAGTCTCATTTTGACCTTGGCGGATTCCACAAATCTCATTTCGAAGACTTGAGACTCTTGAGGCGGGATAAAACTTGTCAAGGAAAGCTCTTGCCATGTCGGTCCATGAGTTGATCGACCCGGTGGAAGATAGAATAACCAATCTTTTGCTCTATCGGCCAATGAAAAGGGGAATGCCCTTAGCTTGATTTGGTCATCGGTTGACCCTTGTGGCTTCATGCTAGTGCAAATAATGTGGAACATCTTCAAATGCTTATGAGGGTCTTCATTCTCCAATCCATGGAAAGTCGGTAGGTGATGGACTAAACTTGACTTCAACTCCGAGCCTCCTTCCAAAACCGGGTAATTGATACCGGTTGGAGTTTGTGTAACATCGGTCTCCATCATTTGCCTCAAAGTTCTTTCGGGAACTTCTCCTCCGTCCGCCATTTCAATTGGTTCAATAATGGGTGGATTTTGTTGTAGGGGTGGTGTTTCGGGAATTTCTTGGCGAAGGTCGGGACTAGAATCGGGCTCTATGTCGCTTAATGAAGCGGTTTCGACCTCCGGATCCCCGTGAGGATTAGAAGTTTGACCACGTTCAATTCGCTTTTCCTTCGCCAAACGCCTTGCTTCTTTTTCGATTTCTGGATTGTAAATCAAGTCACCTGTACGCTGAGATCTGGGCATAGAGAAACAAATTGATTAAAAATAAACCAATCCCCGGCAACGGCGCCAAAAATTTGGTGGTTGTCGAGGCCAACACAAATAATAACCCTAAATATTACACACTAAAATAGTGTATAGTGGTAAAGGGATCGAATCCACGGAGACTGGTTCAATTTGATAACTCTATGAAAAATCTCTTTGTAAAATACTTGGAATATGACAATAAATTAAAAATGGGGGTTTTGATGTTTTGAAATACTTGAAACAAACTAGAATTAACTATGATTTAAATAGACAATTGCAACAAAAATAAGAATTTGATGTAAAATCAATAAGGGAAAGATGGTTGACTTAAAGTTTTCTCACTTTGACTTTTGATGAACATATCATTAGAATTCAATGGTGCAATACTTGTTTTAAATCCTCAATTTGGCTATAGTAATCCAAGGAGCTTGAGATTACCTAGACTTTTCTTAATTGTTGAAATGGCTAGAGAAGCTCATAACAATTTCCTTAGTCAAAGTCACTAATTCCAAATAGCATGTAATTAGTGAAAGTCAACTAGCATTAAGAACCAAAAAGTCACCAAATCCAAGAGGGGTCAAATGCTTTCACCACCATGTTGGAGGAAATGTTTTTATGATTGTGTGAAGCAAAAACAACACAAAAATCATTTGTTGCTTGCTAATTTGAGGATCCTTTACTTAATCAAGAAATTAGCCAACTAATCACCACAAACACATTTAAACTCATGAACTAAAACATACAAGTAATGATAAGATGTTAAAACACAAAACATTTCCATAAAGATTCAAGAACATGTTCATGGATTCTTCAACATTCAACAAAAGTTCAAAGGATTAACCAAAAGTCAACCAAGATTAGCTTAGCCAAGCATGGCTAAACCCAAAGAAACAAAGTTAGAGAAATTTGTACCAAACATTAAGCAAGAATCAAGAGGTAAAAATATGATGTTCTTCAAGGGTTCTTGGCCTTCAAAAGTCTCCAAAACTCCAGAGAGAATCTTCAAAAATCGGATGTCCAAGAGTATGCAAAAGATGGGCACCAACCTTCCTCAAATAGCTCAAAAGAAGAATTTCCGAAATTACCCCTGCAGGAGGTTGCGCGACCCGCGTGCTCTTGCGCGGGTGGTCCCTGGATGTAGCATCTTTGAGGTTTTGGGCCTCCATAGCTTAGCCCACTTGGCCCAGATCGAATCCAATCACCTCCTAGCCCATTTTCTTCAAGTTTTTCTTCATTTTAAGCCCAATTTGACCTCTCCAAATCCTCCAAAGCTCGTGAATTCGCCCGATTAATAATTTACGTACGCTTGAATATTCCCCCGCATCTTGCAAATTTAAAGTTTATTTCTCTCCAAGTCTTCAAATAATCATCAAGATCACTCCATGCATCATCGCCACTACCCATCAAGCCCAACGTCATTTTTGTCTACCAAATCTCATCGCCTCCTATACGTCCCAAACACTCCCGCTCCGCTAGACCCGAAAACCTGCAATTATGCTCACAAGATTCGAGAGTACCCGAAATAGTCATAAAATAACAAAAAGGAAAATATGCATGGAAATTATCTAAATTATGAATGAAATATGCTAAAATAAACTATAAAAAGAAGTAAATAAAATGAAGCTATCAAATCACCCCAAGCTTAAACCTTACTTGTCCTCAAGTAAGACAAGACTAAATGAACTTGGGATGAACTACCCTAGAAATAAAAAGAATGGATAGAACCATGGAACCTGTTCGACATTAGTCAACATGGTCAGAATTGATTTCGCTGCTATCTCACAACTTTTTCATCCGATGACAATGGAACCATAAACCACAGCCAGGATAACTCCTTTAGGTGAGTAAGGAGGGATGAGCAGTCGCAGCCTCAATGGAACATGTATACAATGGAGAACATATGTAGTAGGGAGAAAGCAACTGGATGGGCTCGGGTGGAGCTCTTCTTTAAGTGGACACTCTGATCTCACATCTGCCGGTTTCTCTCATGTGTAACTAGGTTTAATCGCTCGGGCACCGTTGTAGGATTCAGTTCACTTAGTGTTGGCCCAAACCTCCCGTAGTATCCGACTCGACAGTCTCTCTAACATCACCAATTTGTGAGAAAGAAAAACAAATAACAACTCGATCTATATACAATAAAACAGACCTATACAAATGAATATCAAACGTCGGGTGACCAAGATGTTGGGAAATTTGTTCAATAATTGAACCGGCCACCTATCTAAGATAGTTGCAACTGAAAATTTGCATGCTTTATTTTGTTTTGTTTTTTGTTTTTTTTTGTTTTGTTTTTTTTTTGTTTTTTTTGTTTTTTTTGTTTTTTTGATGAGAAAACCCTTTGACTCAAAATTTTGTTCCCAAAGGTGTGTAGGTGGAACCGAAAGGGTAATGATATAATCCGAATGGTCTAAGTGTGAAAATGACCATGTGTGGAGCATAAAGATGTAATGTAAGCTCCTTTTCAAACTTGTGTTTTTTCAAAGATAATGAAAATGTCCAAATGTGGACTAAAAGACTCTCTAAATTCTAAGAAAATCGCAAAAAGATATGGTGATATAAAGAGATCGGATATGGATTCTACTCGGGGGACAAGCACCAATGCTTCATCCTAACAGTTCAAACATGATCAAGTGTGATCCTCTCCGCGGTAGTGACCGCAAGGCTAAGACATCCATTGCTATAGTATATCCTACAGTTGTTAGTATTGTATGCATAATTCTTCATGAAACTACCTGGCCATGATCACTTACCCCTTTAAGCTACCAGCATCTGATCCCAAGTATGAAATCCCAAACTGCAGCTAGTGGTCCCTGATTCGATGGGTGAGATAGCAACAAGATCCTGGACCAATAATGATACAATAACTGTGAACCTGTTCCATGGTATCCAAGAGAGGTGAGAATAAACAGACAACAAAAATGCATGAATGCTAATGTCTTAAGCTAAATGTTATGCAAAAATAAAAAGTGGAAAAAGAAGAAAATAAAATCTTTTTGGAATAAAAAAAATGAATGATGATTAGCTTAAAACTAAAATGTTATGCAGCCTAATTAAAAATGCATGAAAAAAATAAAAGGAAAATGAAATGCCCCACCCCAAGCTTAAGAACAAGCATTGTCCTTAATGCTTGAGGAAAGGGCGGAAAGGACCTAAATCGGGCGGTCGGGCGGCGGGAAATGTCCGTGGCGATAGTGGTAGTCCCACATATGGTGGGACTTCGTGTCCTTTCTGCTGATGCGGCTGGTCAAAATGGTGTGGAGGGGCCTGGAATTGATCATGCGGAAACATCGGCTGCTGCATCGAGGGCTGGTCAAAATGATCCTCAGCTTCGGGCATCTCGTCGTTCTCTTCGTCATCTTTTTCCTCTTGTTGCTCTGCGTCGTCACCCTCATCATCACCGGATTCTGGGAATACACCTGCTTGGGTCAATTGATCTGGAGGAAGCCAAGTGTCGGGGTCGCCTGTATCGAATGAAGAGCCGATCCAACTTGGTAGGATGTAAACCGGGGCTTTGTCAGAGTCTAACCAACTGTACGTGCGGGTTCCCCGGTCGAGCAACATCTCCATCCGGATGAGAGTGTCACAATCTAGCAGGAAGTTCGGTGGGGTGTCAACAGGTATGTACTCGGGATCCGGGAAGTCTAGGCCGACGGCTCGACCTATGATTGTGATAAGTCCCCCGATGAAAATTTCCCCTGAGGAACGTTGGCGTATGGAGTCACATTTGTCTAAAAAGAAGCCTGAAAAACTGAGGGGGAGTGCACGCCTCATGCTTCGGAGGAAAAATAGCTCACATCTGTTGATTTTACTGGGCTCGAGATGCCCGAAGATACTCGTCGTAAGGACTCGGTGAGCAATTCGCCAACAGGGGTGAACGATGTGCTTGGCTCGCTGTCGGCTTGGGTTGAAGGTTGCGAGACCAGAAATTTGCATCAGGGTAACGCAGAAAATCTTGGTACTCTTGATTTTGGGGGTTGATGCGGAATGGATCGTCTATACCCATGATAGAATCAAGCTCTTCATATGTGAGCCTATGATGCTCCCCTTTCAACTGGAATGTGAGGACTTTCGTGTCATCATCTCGAGCATATGTGCTAAGAAATTCCATTGTGGGTTCCTCGTAAGTTCTGTCACAAAGTCGAAGAAAACCACGCCAACCGAGTTTTATGAACAAATGGTATACACCATCATGCACCCCAAGCTTTTTCATGGACTTTTTATGGTAGAATTTTGTCGGCCGGATTGCGCGACCCCGAAGATTGGAGCGATAGGTTTTGATCTCAGCATTTGTAAGGGAAGGATCGCTTCCCTCTTCTCCTCTTTTTTTTTGTTTACCGGCTGCTTTGCGTGATGGACCGGCGACATCCTTTTGCGGGTTAGGATCGATCGATGATCCATGGGTGCGTGTCCGAGCCGTGGTTTTGCCCATTTTCGAAGTATTGGCTATCCATATAAACACATTTTTTCGCAAAAGAAACCTTTTTTTTTGAAATCCATTGGCTGGTAGACACAATGATCCGCAAAATAATCATGAACTAGATGTTTTTTTCTTCTTCGCGATTTATGTTTAACATCGCACGTCTTATTAGTAGAGGAGCTAGATCTAGTTGTGGTAGCATGTTCCTACAATACTTCTACATCATATTGACAAAGATATTATCATCATCATTATCGTTGGATGGATTAAACAGATCTTTTTTTTTGAAGTATTGAAATTTTATAAAATATAGAGAAAGATGACAAATGGTATGAACCGTGTTGTAAAACTCACCGAGTTGACCGATTACTCCTCCAAGTACTCGCTACTCGGCCCCTTACCGAGGCGAATTACAAAATCTCGAGTACTCCCCGATTGGACCCTTACTCAACTGAGCAATATTGTAAAACTTGGTCAACTCGGTGATTAATATGTATAATATACTACACACACATGTGATTATTACTACATATATCTTATATTTCAGTAATTATTCACGAACTGAGACCATTATATTTTTCAGTTTTTACGTATTCAAATGTATCTAATTTTGTTATATATTTCAATCAACTTATGAATTCAACTTATGATTTTGATATAAATAATTTCCCTATAAATATTTCTACATGAATTACCAAATCCGAGTACTCCCTGAGTACTCCTAAGTACTCGTTACTCGGTAGTCGGCCAAACAGGTACCAAGTAACGAGTTCTACAACCTTGGGTATGAATGAAAATGAGGTAAATGATATCTTTGGTCGGTACTCATCTCTCTTAGTGTGTGAATCCTCGCGCGTTGCTCTCGAATATAATTATTAAATTAAAATAATAACTTTTAACAAATTGTGATTTAATATCTATATATGAAAAAAAAACAATGTCACTAGCAAAACAAAACATATAGTTAACCTATTAGTTTTATTAACCGTAATAAGTTTATATCATTGGTTATTTCTAATATTAATTGATGATACTATAGACTGTTTTATATTGTATGAATTGTATATCAAATGTATATTGATCTCTATATAAAACAAATAACAAAGTAGTATAAAAATAAATACTACAACTATTGATGATTTTATCGACCGTTTTAAGTTGTGTAAATTATATATAAAATATATGTTGATTTGTATATAAGACAAATAACAAATAGTATGGAAAACTACTACAACTTTTAATAACATAAAACACTACAACATCTACTCAACATTTACATCAAACAAAAATTATTAAACACTTATAAATCATTTAAAATGAATATTTAAAAATCAACATACATTTAATATATAGAAACATTGTCATAAAAAACCGCGTTGAAATAACCATTGATGCGGAAAATCTTATTTTTTTCAACTATTTCATATTTGAATCACAAATCTTTTCAAAGATATGATGTTTTTAACAAAACTTACTTATATTATATTAATATAGCTACAGTGTGTATAAATAAGTTGAAAATAAAAAGGCATTGCATATTAATAACCATAAGCTAAAAAAACTCATGAATGTAATAGAAAATAAAGATGCATGACTAACTAAATTAAATTTAAAATCACAAGTACATGTAAATTAAAAAAAATCTTAAGTTGTAGTGGAAGTTTCAAACTCTTGAACTGTATGCAATAATGTTATATAAATATTGACAAACATATATTATGATAACATTATTATTGGCATTTATCATTGAAATAATGATTTTTACACTAAGTTGTAACTAATATTATAATTATTTGAAATATATATATATATATATATATATATATATATATATATATATATATATATATATATATATAAAAGTTGTATTTGAATTGAATTGAATTCAATTTTTGATTTAATATTATTTTGAACTATATGTATTTTTAATTTATTTAAAAATAATTTAGTTGAATATTTTTTATTTCATTGTTTATTATTATTATTATTATTATTATTATTATTATTATTATTTCAAATGACAATATTTTTTAATATACTATAATCTAGTTATTAGTTTTAAATATTTGTAAACAAATACTAGCTTTACTTAATTCAAAACTACTTATTTGAAAAAATTTCATTATTATATTTAAAAAAAAAAATTATCTTACTTTCAGTTTTGTCTTTAAAGCTATGAAATTTGAAATTTTGGAGTGGAAATAGAGCTCCAAGTAAAATGATGATTTAAAATTCAAAATCATAGTAATCGTTAAGTATTAATACCAATATTTAAAAATAAAATTAAGAGTGGCTTATAGGAAATGAGAGTGTTACATGTGAGGTATATTTTTATCACTTATATTTTCTTATGAAAATATTAATATTTTTCCTTTACATTGAAGAATGAATAGAAAAAAAAAAAAAGAAATTGACAAATGTAATACAATAAAATAGATCACTTGTTTTATAACTATAAAAAGATTTTAAAAAATGGGTGCATCCATTTATATTTTGCGAGACCATAAAGAATGTATTTTTATAACACAAATGATCATTGGTTTTCAACAATAGTCATATCATATTTAAAAACATTCGTTCAATTCGTCATTATCACAAATAATTTGGAATAACAATTATAAACTCCTTCTATCAAAATCAATTATCAAAAACTACATTGATATTATTTACAACAAAATAAGCGATAAAAACTAACACAATATGTAACTAATAGCATAAAATACATGTTAAACAATGTTCTCTTAGACAAAAAATGGTTTGTCTTAACATAAAAGAGAAAGACAGCATAAAGATGCATACATGTTAACAAAGTTTATTACTCTAACTGATAAATAGCTTAAAGGTTAATAAACCAAAAGCTTTTGAGAAGTAAGTATCAATCTTACTTCATCTATAACACTCCAATCCAGGTTATCACCTTTACTTCCCTTAAATCAATTTATTTTGCAAAAATGGTCTCTTTTTGAACGTTGAGCGTACTTAAGTGTACGCTTAGCGTACCGTGGAAGAAGGATCGCGAAGGAGCATCGTGTATGTGGGGCGTACGTGAAGGTACGCAGGGCATACGTGGCTGATGGCCAAACCCTAACTTTCGGACTTGTGACCTATTTAAGCACCCTTAAGTCATCTTGGCATCACCCTAGCCACCCTCCATCACTCTCAAATGTCCCTAAAACCCTAAAATCAATAGTGTGTGTTTATTGAGCTTGTGAGTGCCTCATATATCATATTCTCGGTGTGTTAGCTAAAGGGAAGAAGTGGAAGCAAGCTTGAACGAGGGAAAGGCTTCTGGATCTTGCATTTAGAGCAACTTAGGAAGCTTGTGGAGGTAAAAATCTCTCATTGGTTATCATTGTCATTTATAGAGCTAGGGTTTTCTATGTAGTCCCCTTTTGAGTTCATGAATCATTTCTTGGGAGTTTGAGCAATTGCAGGGATTAGGGATGGTAGATCTGAGGTCCATTAGCTTGTTCATGTCATAAAAATGCAGACTTATTGGTTTATTTTTCCTCCATGCATGAATTAAGACCCTTGGAAAGGTATTAATGGGTTGGAAAGGTTTGTTGAGAGCTTATAGGACATGCGAAGGCATAAAGTTGACAACTTTATGCCTTAGGACTCTTCTAATGACCTAAATATGAGTTTGGAATGTAAGGACTTAACGCATTAAGCACTTAATGGCAAATGTGCTTATTTTGTTTGTACATTGGGCGTACCAACCTGTACGCCACGCGTACAGCCAAAGAACCCGTACTCTTAGCATATTTCTGTTAAACGTTAGACGTACGCTCAGTTGTGTTAGTTGGGCCTCGGTGGACTTTACAGACCATTTAGACTTCTCTTAGCCTTGGGCCTGGACCGTTAGGATGGTGTTGGGCCTAGGGAATTGCTTTAGGTTTTTGGTGTGTTGATTGGGCCTTATTGGGTCATGTGGCCCATTATAATTTGGACTTGATCTTGGGCCCATTATAGTAGGATAGACCTTTGGGCTTGAATAGTGGGCCAAAGATTAAGATGTTAGGCCCTTAACCGAATTGTGTCATAAATCTAATTAGGTTAATTGGTATATTTATATTGTTAGAGATTTGGGATAGTATTTGTGAAACTATTGTGTTCAACAGACTGAGGTGAGTCTTCTCACCACACTCATGGGTCGAAGGCACCAAGATTGGCCTATTAATGGTTATGAGATGATTTGCTTGGAATATGTAATTGTTTGATATTAAATCTATATGTGGGCTTATGTGTAGACCATGGGGGAGCCCATGGAATTTGGGAAGACCATGGGAGGAGCCCATGGCCCAGGGACGTGAGACCATGGGGGTAGCCCATGACATTCTATTAAAGACAATGA